TGAGGAAGGAGAATGGGGCGGAGGGGAGACAAACCTGCATAGCAGAGAAAAGGTAAGAGCTCTGGCAAGGCTGGGGAAGAGAGGAGACTAGTGAAGTCTAAGGAAAGAGTATTGGTCAGCTGTGGTTTGACTGCTTTGGCAGGTGGGAGAGGGGGAGGAAAAACTGACAGAAAATTCCTACTGTGGGGCTCATCTGAAAAGGGGTTGCGGTGGGAAAAGAGATCCCCCCAAACACCTACCGGCATTGGGATTCCACATGTTCAGGTGTTTCCTCCGGCCTGAGGAGAAAGAAATGAAGGCAAAAAGCTGATGGCGCAGAGATGGGAGGGAACTTAAAGACCGAGCCCAAACCCAACGCCTCTCTGAGAGACTCAAAGAACTACCACGACCTCCACATAGATACTTTTTTCCACCCGTTCCTTCGCCCTCAGCACCTATTTTTTTCCTTCCTTTCTAACTATTGGGATCTAGCTCCCAGGGCCCCTCCACCTTATACTACCTCTGGCCGCAGCTGCAGGTCTCTAACTCCTCAGTAGAGGGGCAGAGTCCGCGAATCTCACTGTCCTCATTCTTCACCTCCCTTTCCGTGACTGAGTCCGGAAGACTTTCAGCACCCACAGGCTACGGAAGGATCTTAATTTCACCACCCCCACCCCAGGAGTGGGGGAGGGAGACAGGACCCGCCTCTCGGCGAAAAGGAGAAGGCGTTCAGAAAAGATCCTCGACCGCTTACTTATGTAGGCACACCCCCTTCCACATTAAATAGGCCAAATAGAGATCCTAGCTCCTAGTTGCGAAGGGACCCCTGACCTACGGACGAGGAAAGGAGGAAATTGAAGAATCCAGATGCCCCGTCACCTTTACACCACAGCCTGGGCTTGACTCATCTTTGGTTCTCACTTCCTGGTCACCCCCACCCTAGGCTTCAGCACCTGCCTCTGCTACCACCTAATTGGCAATCGCTTTGTCTTTCGGCGTAGTGATTGGAGAACACACACGTCAATCACTCTAGTCCCAGCTAGGCTGGTGAACAACGGTTGCAATAGGGGCTCTGCAGGGAACTAGGCGGGTGCAGAGGAGTGGGCGGGCCGGAAATCCCTGGGGGCGGGACCAAGAGAGATCTAGGAGAGGGCGGAGCCAGGTTCTCGGCAAAGTCCCTTGAGAGGTAGCCAGGGAGCTCAGCATGTGCCCTCTGAGCTCCTAGTTCGGTGGGTGCGACACCTTGTAAGGTGAATAATACACCGTGGTAAGTATTGTAACACGGATATACGGAGAGCGCTTAAGAGAAGGCGGAGAGCTGCTGAGTCTCAACCCCCCGCCTCAATTTCGCCACCTCCCACCGATCCCCCCGTGGAAAGTAAAGAAACATTCTTGGGGGAAATACAAAGATTTCCTAATCCCTCGTAGGATTCCCTATCTCAGTTGCATACCTCCGCCCAGCTGTCGAATTGCATAAGGCAGAAACCAAGGAGGTCATGCTTGATGGCTCTCTCCTTCACCTTTCCCTTGTCCCTTCCAACACCACAAAGAGTTCGTTTTGTCTCCCAAATAAATCTGAATTCCTTCCACTTCTCTCCATCTTCCCTGCTCCCAACCTGTCATCATCTCTCGACTGGATTGCTGCAATGGCCTCTTTAAAAAAAAAAAAAGTCACAATCAACAAGCTCGATTTAATAAACACAGAAATCCATGCACCCAAAACTTAAAAATACTCATTCTTCCTAAGCATACTTAGAACATTTATTTAAAAATTGGTCTCAACCAATATAATTCAAATTTCGAAGAATTGTACAATACATACCACATTCTCTCTTCACAATATAAAATATAAATACAAACATACATCTGGAAATTTAAGAAAACAAAACGCCTGTCAAAGAACTCTGGGTTAGGGGCGCCTGGGTGGCTCAGTTGGTTAAGCTACTGCCTTCGGCTCAGGTCATGATCCTGGAGTCCTGCATCGGGCTCCCTGCTCAGCAGGGAGTCTGCTTCTCCCTCTGACCCTCCCCCCTCTCATGCTCTCTATCTCATTCTCTCTCAAATAAATAAATAAAATCTTAAAAAAAAAAAAAAAAAGAACTCTGGGTTAAAGAATAAACCATGGTGGAAATTAAATACTTTGAACTAAGCCATAATGAAAATACTACATACCAAATTTGTGGGATACAAAAAATAGGAAGAAGATAAATTTTATAATGAGTTTATCATCTTGAATTAAGGACTTTGATAGATTGTTTAAATATTTTTTATTTTGAAATAATTTTTAGACTCATGAGAATTTGCAAAAAAAAAAAAAAGGAATTCCCATGTATTTTACCCTTTACCGAGATTCCCCCAATGATAATATCTTACATAACTATAGTGCATTTTTTTTAAAGATTTTATTTATTTATCGGAGAGAGAGAGACACAGCGAGAGAGGTAAGACAAGCAGGGGCAGTGGGAGAGGAAGAAGCAGGCTTCCCACGGAGCAGGGAGCCCAATATGGGGCTCGATCCCAGGACCCTGGGATCATGACCTGAGCTGAAGGCAGATATCTAATGACTGAGCCACCCAGGCACCCCATAACTATAGTAAATTTTGATATACTTTCCTATCAGCTTTGTACTAAACATTTGAGACGAATTAGAATATTTCCCATTTTCTTAAGCTCTAGGGCAATTTATATCTACACTATTTCTTTCTGGGAAAATTGGGTTTGAAAGAAATTATTGATGTGTCTGTATGGGCATAATGCCTTTTAGAAATTAAATATTTCAAACTATTTCTTTTTTTTTTAAGCAGCCTTAATGAGATATAGTTCATATACCATACAATCCATCTACATACAGCGTACCATTTGATGGTTTTCAGCATATTCAGAGCACTGTGCAACCATCACCATTATCTAACGTTAGAATATTTTTGTGCCTCCTAAAAAGAATCCCAGGCCCATTAGCAGTCAAGCAGGCAATCCTCATTTGCCTCCCTATTTCTCCTCATCCCCCACCCAGCTCTAAGTAACCATTAATCAACATTCTGTCTATAAATTTGCCTATTCTCGACATTTCATATAAATGGAAAATGTACAATATGTGGACTTTTATGACTGGCTTCTTTCACTTAGTGTAATATTTTCAAGGTTCATCCATGTTGTCCTATGAATCAGTACTTCACTCCTTTTTATGAAGGAAGTACTAAATAACATGCCACTGAATGGATATACCACATCTTGTTGTATCTATTCATCGGATGATGGATATTTTAATTGTTTTTGCTTTTTGCCTATTATGAATATTGCTGCTATGACAATTCATGTACAAATTTTTGTTGAGCATATGTTTTCAATTCTATTGGGTATGCCTGCAAGAGGAATTCCTGGGTCATATGGTAACTCTGTGTTTCACTTTTCCAGGAACTGCCAGACTGTTTTCCAAAATAGCCACATCATTTTACATTCCCACCAGCAATGTAGAAAGGTTCCAATTTCTCCACATCTGGCCCAACACTTGTTACTGTCTTTATCAGTATAGCCATTCTAGCAGGTATGAAATGGTGTCTTCAATGGCTTTGCATTATCTTTAAGACAAAGATCAAAATTATTTTTACATGTATGTATTAATTTTTGTTGAATAGGTAATATGTTCACATGATTTGAAAATGTAAAAGGGTAAGAGGTATAAAGTGAAAAGTCTCCCTCCCACTCTTGTTCTTCATCTACTCAGCTTCCCCCAACCTATGCAACCCCTGTAGTTTCTTGTGTATACTTCCACAGTTTCTTCATTACAATCAAGCAAATACTGATATAAATGTATATCCCCCCATTTTAAATATAAAAACTAGTTATGCAGAGTTTAATTTGCAACTTTTGGGATGCCTGGGTGGCTCAGTTGGTTAAGCGTCTGCCTTCAGCTCAGGTCATGATCCCAGGGTCCTGGGATCGAGTCCCGCATCAGGCTCCCTGCTCCACGGGGAGCCTGCTTCTCCCTCTGCCTCTGTCTCTCTCTCTCTCTCTCTCTCTCTCTCTCTGTCTCTCATGAATAAATAAATAAAATCTTAAAAAAAAAATGTGCAACTTTCCCCCCACTTAGTACATCTTGGAGATATTTTCATATCAGTACACAGAGTGTGTCCTCAGTCTTTTTCACAACTTCATTTTATTCTTTTGTATGATGTACCATAATCAATTTGACCAGTCAATGGATATTTGTGTGGTTTTCAGTCTTCTGCTATTAAAAACAATGTTGCAGTAAATAACCTTGTATATATGTCATTTAACATATTTTTACTTTTTATAGTTATTGATGAATTACTCTCCATAGAAGTTATATTTATTTTCATTGTCACCACCAAAATGTGAGTGTCTATTTCCCCCAAGGCATTCAATAAAGAAATACTCAAAATCTTGTTACTGTAGCCTGCAGTGGTCTTGCCCTATTATCCCTCTGGTCTCTTCTCATACTCTTCACTCCTGGCTTTCTGCCCTCCAACCCCTAAGCTTTTTTCATCCCTCCAGATCTTGGTTCCTTTTGCAGGAGGGCCTTTGCACTTACTGCCTTCGGCCTGGAATGTTCCCCATCTCTCTCCACTTTGCCTAATTAACTCCTGATCATTCATCAGCTCTCAGCTCCAGAATCACTTCTTCAAGAAATCCTGTTTGACACTCTAGTCAGATGAGATTCCTATGTTGTAACATGTTGTAGAAGCTTGCCTTTCCTTTAGCACACCCATCTCAGTTTATAATTATACATGAATTAATCGATGATTACTTGATTAATATCAGCTTCCTAGGGGCGCCTGGGTGGCTCAGTCATTAAGCATCTGCCTTTGGCTCAGGTCGTGACCCCAGGGTCCTCGGATTGAGCCCCGCATCAGGCTCCCTGCTCAGTGGGGAGCCTGCTTCTCCCTTTCCCATTCCCCCTGCTTGTGTTCTCTCTCTCGCTGTGTCTCTGTCAAAATAAATAAATAAAATCTTAAAAAATATATATATATATCAGCTTCCTACATTAGACTTTAAGCTTCTTTTTTTAAATATTTTATTTATTTATTTGACAGAGAGAGACACAGCCAGAGAGGGAACACAAGCAGGGGGAGTGGGAGAGGGAGAAGCAGGCTTCCCGCCTAGCAGGGAGCCCAATGTGGGGCTCAATCCCAGGAACCTGGAATCATGACCGGAGCCGAAGGCAGATGCTTAATGACTGAGCCCCCAGGCGCCCCTAGACTGTAAGCTTCTTGAGAGCAGGGACTGTGTTCATTAACACTTAACACTTCACACAGTGCCTGGTACATAGGAGGGTATTAATGAAAAAACTATTAAATGAATAACTACATGAATGAATGAATGAATGAATGAATGAACAAACGAACAAAGAGGAATAGAACATGGTGGTTCTGGAATCAGTCAGACAGCTTCTAGATTCAAATTCTGGCTTTGCCACTTACTGTGTGACCTTGAATTAGTTAAACCCCGTGGACCACCAGTTCTCTCATCTGTAAAATAGTGGCAATGATACCTACCTCATAGGGTGGTTGGAATGAGATAAGCATGTATCTGTCACATAACAGGCATATATTACATGCTAGTATGTATTACTATCATGATTCTCATTAATATTATGAATGATTACTGTTAGACTAGCATGATTTTGACCTCTCTGCAGGACCCTATAGGGTACCAACGTCCTCCATGTATCTCTTCACCTACCTCCTAGTTGGGAAATTCTTCCTCAGATTTAAACTCAGATTTTTTTTTTTTTATTCATTTATTTGAGAGAGAGAGAGATCGAGAGAGCACGGGTGCATGAGCAAGGGAGGGGTAGAGGGAGATTGAGAAGCAGACTCCCCACTGAGCAGGGACCCCAATGCAGGACTCCATCCCAGGACTCTGAGATCATGACCTAAGCCGAAGGCAGAGCTTAACAACTGAGCCACCTGTGCACCCCTAAACTCAGACTATTTTTAAAGCATTAAACAATGCTTTTAAAGCTCATTTCAGCTCATTCATTAAGTCAATAATTATTTACCATGCTTCTGTCATTCATTCATTCAACAAATATTTCTCAAGCTAGCCAAGTACTATTCTAAGTGCTGGGGATTAAGTGAAAACAACAGGAAAAAAATGCTTGCCTTTCTGCGGTAATATTGGGAGAAATATATATGTATATATACAAAATATAAATATACAATAAAGTGTCAGATAATGATGTGTATGTACTATGGAGAAAAAAGAATCAAAGTGTAGGAGCTGTGGTGCAATATTTATAGATCCCTGTAAGCCATGGAAAAGAGTTCAGATTTTATTCTAAGTGTGAATGGAAGTCTCTGAAGGGTGTTGAGCATGGGAATGACATGATCTAATTTTTATTTTAAGAAAATCATTCTGTAAACCAATGTTCATAGAAATATTATTCATAATAGCCCCCAAATGGAAACAAACCCAATGTCCATCAACAGATGAATGGATAAATGAAATGTGGTATGTGTGTAAAATGGCATATCATTCAGCCTTAAAAGGAAGGACAATCTAACCCATGCTAAAACATGGATAAACCTGGAAGATATTATGCTAAGTGAAATAAGCCAGGCATAAAAGGAGAAATACATATGATTCCATTTATATGAGGTGCCTAGAGTAATCAAATTCATAGAGTCAGAAAGTAATTGCCCGGTACTGGAGGAAAAGGAGAATGGAAAGTTATTGTCTAATAGGCTCAGAGTTTCAGTTTGGAAAGATGAAAAAGTGCTAGAGAAGAATGGTGGTCATAGTTGCACAGCAATGTAAATATACTTAATGTCACTGAACTGTACACTTAAAAACAGTTAAAAGGGTAAAAAAAAAAAATCATTCTGGCTACTGTGTGATGAAAGAACAAGATAGGGAGAGGTGGTTAAAGTAGAAGGAGGGAGCCCAGTTAGGAGGCTACTCTTGTAGTCTAAAAGAGGAATGGTGGTGGCATGGATGGAAATTGTGAAAATGTGGAAAATGTGGAGACTCTGGGTATTTTTTTAGGTAGAGCTTAGCAGATTTGGACTGGAAGTGAAGTGTGAAAGAAATAGAAAAATCAAGGATGAACCCAAGGATACTGAGCAACTGAAAAATAATGAGAAAACAAAGAAAAAAAGGTTGCCATTTACCGAAATAAAGAAGATGAGAGACAAGCTGATGTGAGTACATTTGGACAAGTTTAGGATGCCTATCAGATATTCAAGTGGAAATGTCGAGAAGGCCGTTGGATTTGGAAATCTGAAACTAAGGGAGAGGTTTGGTCTGAAGAGAAAAAAATTGAGAGTTATCCAGGTATGTGAAGCTAGGGAGCTAGATGAGGTCAGCTAGAGGGCAAGTGTGGCCAGAGTAGAGAAGAGGGTGCAGCAATTGGCCTTTGGCATGCCAATGTTTAGAAACTGGGAGGAGGACCAAGCAAAGGATACAGAATGAGTGGCCAGTGAGGAAGGGGGAAATCAGAAGAGAGTATGAAGAAAGCATTCAAGGAGGAAGCTATCCAATGTGTGAAATGTTGCTGATAAATTATGTAGGGTGCAATCTGAGAATTGCAATCTGAGTATGAAGAAAGCATTCAAGGAGGAAGCTATCCAATGTGTGAAATGTTGCTGATAAAATTATGTAGGGTGCAATCTGAGAATTGGATTTTGAAAGGATGGTGAACTTTTTAAGAGCAGTTCTAATTAGGGGCACCTGGGTGGCTCAGTTGTTAAGCGCCTGCCTTCGGCTCAGGTCATGATCCCAGGGTCCTGGGATCGAGCCCCGCATCGGGCTCCCTGCTCGGCGGGAAGCCTGCTTCTCTCTCTCCCACTCCCCCTGCTTGTGTTCCCTCTCTGGCTGTCTTTCTCTCTGTCAAATAAATAAAATCTTTAAAAAAAAAAAAAAAAAAGAGCAGTTCTAATTACATGGTAGAGACGAAATTTTGCCCGAAACAAATTGAGGAAAGAATGAGAAATGAGGAAGTGGAGACAGCAAATAAAAGCAATTCTTCCAAGGAATGTTGGTAAATCAGGAAGCAGAGAGGTGGTGCAGTAATCATGAGGATGGGCAATCTAGGAAGGGCTTTTTTTTTTTTGAGAGAGAGAGAGAGAGAATGAGAGAGTCAGGGAGGGGCAGAGGGAGAGAGCATCTTGAGCAGACTCCCTGCTGAACGTGGAGCCTGACCTCAGGACCCCACAATCATGGACTGAGCCAAAACCAAGAGTCAGATGCTTAACCAACTGAGTCACCCACACGCCCCTAGGAAGGGCTTTTTAAGATGGGAGAGTTTAAAGCATTTTGTAAACTGATGGGAATAATCCAGTAGAGAGAAAAAACAAAGTTGCTGGAGAAAGAAGGGACATTTGAAGGAACAAAGTGACCAGGAAGAATGAGGTTCCAGTCCACGATGGAGGCACTAACCTTAGATAGGTCAGTTCACGAATACAGTGCAGTGGTTGAGACAATGAGTTCTGGAGTCAGACTACTTACTTTGTGACTCTGGACAAGGCACTGAAAAGGAAACCTCCAGGCCTCAGTTTCCCCATCTGTAAGATGGAGAATCATAATAATACCTAACTCAGAGTGACGTTTAAACAACTTAATACATGTGAAGGACTCAGCACACAGCTGGACATATAGTAAGCCCTCTATAGGTATTAGCTCTTATTATTGTAACAGGAGGGAAATGAGTCTACAGGTCCAGATACAAATGCATTGGTAGATTGAGCGATGGGAAGATATAACCATTCTTTGCTGATTGCTGTTCTTTATTATTATTATTATTTAATAGGGAGGTGGGAAGAGAAGGTTAGAAAGAGTCATCTCAAAAAGTGGGCAAATGAGTTGATTAGGGAATTGTAGTAGGGTTGCTGGGCAGCATGAAGGGCCCACTTGAGGCTGGTGAGCCGTATGTAAAGTGGGACTAGTTGGCACAGGCGGTGGTTTCCTCCAGTTAAACACAAATGCTTGGGTACAGCTGTGGAATAGGAGAACTGGCTTTAACTGGGGTTAGGGTTTGCCTGGAAAATACAAGGAAGGGGAAGGGAAAAGAGGGCAAGGCTATTAAGTGTGCATACATGGTAATGATTATGGTGATAGATTATGGAAAATAAACTGAGTAAATAAGGAAAGACAGAAGGGTGTGATGGATAGTGACAAAGTGGCAGGTCAATGGATTGGATGTCAGTGGAGGTTCTCTAGAGTAAGTGAGCTGAAAAGGAGGTAGAAGGTGTATCCAGAAAGTGAAATGCTTGAAAGAGTTCTTGGTGGAGGTAGTGGAGGAAAATCTCGTTGGAAGTGAAATGGTCAAAGAAGCAAGAATTAAATAGATTATCTAGGGGCACCTGGGTGGCTCAGTCGGTTGGACGTCAGCCTTCGGCTCAGGTCATGATCCTAGGGTCCTGGGATCGAGCCCCGCATCAGGCTCCCTGCTCAGCAAGGAGCCTGCTTCTCTCTCTCCCTCTGCCTCTCCCCCAGCTTGTGCTCTCTCTCTCGATCACTCTGTCTCAAATATATAAACTCTTTCCTAAAGAAATACATAAATAGATTATCTACGTAATGATGTAGAGAATGTACACAATGATGATAAAAGTAGTGATAAAAAGAAAGAGACTTCGATCCAGATGCTGAAATGTTCAACAAATACAGAAGAGTGACCAGGAGGTCCGTAAATGATCACAAGGTGAAGTAGGAAGTGGTGCGGTCTGATGGCGTGTATTTCAGAGATGCTTGGGATTTTGGAGGAGAAAGATAAAGAAATGATCTGGAAGTAGCAACAGACAGAAAGGAAAATACCCTCCTCCAGAGTATGCAAAAGAAAAAAGCAGCTACCACTCCAGGATAAGGACATTCAGAGAAGAGGCTGAAGATACAGAAAATTTTGTAGATACTTCCCTAGACCCGATAAAGGCACTATAGAAATGCAAAGCAGGGGGCGCCTGGGTGGCTCAGTCGTTAAGCGTCTGCCTTCGGCTCAGGTCATGATTCCAGGTCCTGGGATCGAACCCCACATCGGGCTCCCTGCTCCGCCGGAAGCCTGCTTCTCCCTCTCCCACTCCCCCTGCTTGTGTTCCCTCTCTCGCTGTGTCTTTCTCTGTCAAATAAATAAAAAAATCTTAAAAAAAAAAGAAAGAAAGAAAGAAAAGAAATGCAAAGCAGCGTGAGACATATTTCACTTGCCTGCTAAGAACTTCAGGTAGGCATGTAACTTTCTCATGGAACCAAATATGGTCTTTATCTTTTTCCTATCAAGGACTTTATCTTTTTCCTATCAGGTCTGTTGGTCAAAAAACATTTATTGAAAATAAATTTAGCACATTAAAAGTGAATGCACCCTCCTTGAACAGATGAGAAAAATGAGGCTCAGAAAGCAGAATGGTTTATTGCAGGTTTCGCCTCAGTTAATGGCAGATTCAGGTCAGGAACTAAGGACTCTATCCAGTCCACCAAGCTATATGCAGAGTCCTGAACTGGGTGCTATAAAGGAACAGGAAGGGATATAAACTATGTTCCTCCACACCCTCCATGCTCTTAGTTACAGTCCAGGTGAGAATGTGATGCTCACAAATGAAGTTTCAGCAAACAACATATTGTTACAAGTTGAGCTCCTAAGTACGAAGGGAGACAATGTAAAGTCACATGTGGTTTTTCAAGGAATATTTCCTGGTGATAGTAAATTTGTTTATGTGCTTTCAATAATCTATTAAGTGATTCATGAGAATTAAAGAAAATTTGGAAAACAGAAAGGCAGAAAGAAAAAGCAAACTTTTTTGAGGCCCCATTTATCTAAACAGAATCACTACTGTTATTTTAGAATATTTCCATCTTTTTTTCTGGCATAAACTTTTTAAGTAAATACTAAATTTTAATAGCCAAAACAGGCAAATAGTTCAAAATCCAAGAGGTAAAAAAAAAAAGTTGGAAAGTCAAGAATCAGTCTTCTTCCCACCATCCAGCAGCCCTGTGTTCAGCCACGTAGTTTCCCTTCCTTGAGTCTGACTCTATTCAGAGATTTATGTTTTTGAGTTTCTAAAAAGTGTACTTATAAAGTATGGAGATTGGGCGCCTGGGTGGCTCAGATGGTTAAGCTTCTGCCTTCGACTCAGGTCACGATTCCAGGGTTCTGGGATTGAGTCCCGCATCCGACTCCCTGCTCAGCGGGGAGCCTGCTTCTCCCTCTGCCTCTCTCTCTCTCTCTCTCTGTCTCTCATGAATAAATAAATAAAATCTTTTAAAAAAATGAAGTATGGAGATTAGTTAATAATCACTTAATCAGGGGCGCCTGGGTGGCTCAGTTGGTTAAGCGACTGCTTTCCGCTCAGGTCATGATCCTGGAGTCCCGGGATCGAGTCCCACATCGGGCCCCCTCCTCAGCAGGGGGTCTGCTTCTCCCTCTGCCCTCTTCCCTCTCGTGCTCTCTGTCTCTCATTCTCTCTCTCTCAAATAAATAAATAAAATCTTTAAAAAAAAATCACTTAATCACAAAGCAATATTGGATCATTAAGGTAACAAGCATACCATACTAATGTAAGATGTTAATAATAGGGGGAACTGGATGTGAGGGATACAATTTATTGCATCTCTGTGATGCACTCTGCATCTCTATGAGCATGGAATCACTAATCAGCAATAGCATACTCGATTTAGTGAAATAATCTTCACAATGGGGACTTTAATATTTTATCATAGAATCGTGGAAGCATTGGATTGGAAATGACTCAGAGAATAATTCATTCAATTTTCTGAGAAAATTAAATAAACATTTCTAAGAGTTCACAGTTAGGAGAGCCAAGATTATAATCTAAGTTTTCTAGCTTTTATGTTAATGACATTACAACATATTACAACACACCTACTCAAAAATACTACAAGTAGGCATTGTCATGCTTACCACAACCCTCCCATTGTTCTTTGTATTTATGGCCATTATGATGGTCATAGTTTTGTTTTGTTCTGTTTAATAAGCTTTATTTTTTTGGAACAGTTTTAGATTTACAGAAAGATTGAGAAACTAAACTCCATACTTTTATTCAGATTTATTTAGTTTTCACCCAATGTCCTTTTCCTATTCTGGGATCTTATCCAGGATATCACATTATATCTAGTTTTCATGTCTCCTTAGCCTCCTCTTGGTTGTGACAGTTGTTTGGTTTTTTTTTAAGATTTTATTTATTTACTTGACAGAGAGAGAGACACAGTGAGAGGGGGAACACAAGCAGGGGGGGGTGGGAGAGGGAGAAGCAGGCTTCCCGCTGAGCAGGGAGCCCGATGCGGGTCTTGATCCCAGGACCCCAGGACCATGACCTGAGCCGAAGGTAGATGCCGAACAACTGAGCTACCCAGGTGCCCCAGTTGTGACAGTTTTTTAGACTTTCTTTGTTTTTTGTTTTTTTCTTTGTTAAGATTTTATTTTAGGGGCGCCTGGGTGGCTGAGTCAGTTAAATGTCTCCCTTTGGCTCAGGTCATGATCCCAGGGTCCTGGGATGGAGCCTGCATCAGGCTCCTTGCTCAGTGGGAAGCCTGCTTCTCCCTCTGCCTGCCATTCCCCATGCTTGTGCTCTCTCTCTATGTCAAATGGATGAATAAAATCTAAAAAAAAAAAAAAAAAAAGATTTCACTTTAAAGTCATCTCTACACCCAATGTGGGGCTCAAACTCACAACCCCAAGATCATGAGTCACATGCTCTACTGATTGAGCCAGCCCGGCGCCCCTAGACTTTCTTTTTGATAATCTTGATAATTTTGAGAAGTACTAGTTGGTATTTTGTAAAATGTTCCTCTATTGGGATTTGTTTTTCTTGTGATCATAGTTTTTTTTTAAAGTTTTTTTTATTTATTTAAGTAATCTCTACACCCCATGTGGGACTTGAACTCATGGCCCTGAGATCAAGAATCACATGCTCTTCTGACTGAGCCAACCAGGTACCCCGATCATAGGTTTATTTTTGATTTAACATAATCCTAGGCTTGTCAGCATATGTTTGTAAATTCTTTTCATGTGACATTATCCATTTCTAATAATTTATGGCATCATAAATATCTTTTTTTTTTTTTTTTTAAGATTTTTATTTATTTACTTGAGAGAGAGAGCACACACCAGTGGTGGGGGGAGGGGTTGAGGGAGAAGCAGACTCCCTGCTGAACAGGTAGGCCAACGCAGGGCTCAATCCCAGGACCCTGAGATCACGACCTGAGCCAAAGGCAGACGACGCTTAACTGACCGAGCCACCCAGGTGCCCCTTGTTTTGTTTTTTAAATATCGTTTTTAATGGCTGAAAATCCCTACTCTTTTATTTAAAATCTGTGAGGTCTTGCACACATTTCTAAACTTCTCTGAGCCCTTGGTTTCCTCCTCCGTAAGTGGTGCTCACAGGATTGTCATGAAAAAGGCAAGTAGCCTACTTGGGCAGAGGCAACACATAATAAAAGTTATGTTTATTTTTTTTTTTCTTAAAGATTTTATTTATTGGGCATGCCTGGGTGGCTCAGTCGGTTAAGCGGCTGCCTCCGGCTCAGGTCATGATCTCAGGGTCCTGGGATCGAGACCTGCATCGGGCTCCCTGCTCAGCGGGAGGCCTGCTTCTTCCTCTCCCTCTGCCCCCTGCTCATGATCTAGCTCTCTCTCACACTCTCTCTCTCAAATACATAAATAAAATCTTAAAAAAAAAAAAAAATGAAGATTATTCAGAGCCTGGTGTTTAACCAAGACTGGGGGGAAAATAGGTGGCCAAGAGGCAATTGCAATAGTTGGGGCCTGCAACCTCAGTGGGACTGGAGAACTGACTGGATATGGGTGGGGGGGACGAGTTGGGGTCACAGAGCAGACAGAACACCTTCCTTGTGGGGATCCTCTAGGACCAAGAGAAACTTAGTGCAGGGTGGCTCAGTCAGAAGAGCATTTGACTCTTGATCTCAGAGTCATGAGTTTGAGCCCCACATTGGGTGTAGAGATTACCAAAAGAGAGAGAGAGAAAGGGACTTGGTGCTCTTGAGAGCCAGGGAAGAGGGGAAGGCAGCCCTCTCGGTGAAGGCAGCAGCTTGGATTTCGATGTGTTTAGTTTCAGGTGGTGACTGCCTGTTCCCGTGATGATGTCTTGTAAAGAATTAGAGTTCTGAAGGAAAGTGAAGTCTCAGGGCTTGAGAGTGGACAGGCTCTGCAGAGGCTAATGCTGGAACAACCAACATGGAAAGGGACGAGAGATCATCTCAACATTCAGTCACAACTGTTCCCATTTACAGTGTCCACTGAGGACAGGTGCTGTACAAGACCTGTCACCATTTCTTGTTTACCCTGAATAAACTCTGCAAGCAGGGTAGGTATTTTTACCCATATTTTATACATGATAAAACAGATTGCTAGGGTTAAGTAACTTGCTCAAAGACACAGGGCTCGTTGGTCACTGACCAGGAATCAATCCTGTTGTAGTGAAGTCAAAGCCTTCCCATTGCTCTACTGGAGTTAGACCAGAGGGCCTCAACCCCCTGATTTAGCAAATGAGAAACCTGAGGCCTAGAAAGAAAATGTAACTTCCCCAAGAGCAGTCAGTTAGAAACTAAACGGGGAGGGGAGGGCGGGCATGCCTGGCCAGCTCAATTGGAGGAGCATGGGACTTGATCTTGAGGTCAGGAGTTCAAGCCCCACATTGGGTATAGATATTACTTAAAAACAAAAAAACAGGGCGCCTGGGTGGCTCAGATGGTTAAGCGTCGGCCTGCGGCTCAGGTCATGATCCCAGCGTCCTGGGATTGAGTCCCGCATCGGGCTCCCTGCTCCTTGGGAGCCTGCTTCTCCCTCTGCTTCTCTCTCTCTCTGTCTCTCATGAATAAATAAATAAAATCTTAAAAAAAAATAAAAACAAACAAACAAACAAAAACACTTAAAAAAAAAAAAAGAAACTGAACTAGGGCTATAAGCCAGGTACCCAGAGTGAAATGTCCCTGTGGGGCGCCCAGTATGAAAGGGGTCTGGGGTGGGAAAGAAAAGCCGGTAGAGAAGAACAAAAAGAAATGAAGGAAGAACTTCTCAGTAGGACTCACAAGGCCTTGCCTACAGTTCTACACAGAACCTCTCCTCTCTCTCCTCCACACAGCCTATGCTTCTGCTACCCAGGTTCCTTGCAGCTTCGGCCCGCACCATGGGACACTACACCTACTGCCCCAGCCACTCCTGGAAAACTGCTCATTGAAAACCCAAGCTTCCTGTGCTCTGTGAGGCCTTCCCACTCAGCCTCAGGACCCTGGGCAGGCCCCCCACAAGGGCACCTGCAGAGCAGCGATTTCATCTTTCCCCAATGACCGCCTTGTGATCCCACCCAAAGAAGGCTTGTGCTAGAGAAGGAAAAGAAGAGAGACAGGAGGAGCCCAGGATCACATGAAGTGGGGAAGGCCCAAGGACATGGAGATAAAGCTGACTTTACCTCTTTCCTATGCACACCCACCCCTTAGTCCCTGGTCAGGACTGCAGTGTACTGGATGCCCACAGAAGGATCCAGGCATTCGGCAAATAGGAAAGGCAGTGAGTGGTGAGGCAGAGCAGCCGGGCATCCGATCAGCCCCTTTATGTTTGCACGTACATAGATTATACATAAGCTGCACATTTACAGGTGAGACATGGTACAGGAGGATTCCTGGAACAAGGGCCTTGCTGAATGCTGAAGGAGCAGACATTCGGCTGAGGCCTACAAAGGGGAATGGCAGTGGGGAGGAGTTGAGAGGCAGTCTTCTGGGCAGAGAGGTGGGCAGCCATGGGCACAGCTCTCTGGGGAGGGGCAGGCCTCCTGAGGTTGGGCCAGGGCGGCCAGGCGCCGCTGTACACACCCCGCCGTCAGCCGCGCTTCTGGGTCTGCATCCCAGCAGTCCTCTAGCAGCTCTCTCAGGCCGCCAGGGTCCTGGGAAGAATGGGAAGCAGGCTTAATCCTGGGATCCTCAGTGGCTCCCTGAGTAGCCCCAGAGTTGAAAGGTGTCCACCACTACCCTGTTTTCAACACTCCTCTTCTGATCCTCCCTGGGGCCTCCCTCCCTTCCCCCTCCCTGCAATCCAGCCCTCTGCATCTTGCCCCCAATGAGACAGTTCTTTGGGTGTCTTCCAGAGGGTCCCCCTTTTCCTCTGAGGAGCTAATTCAGGTTAATGACTTCACATGCTGATGGGAACTTACTCTCCTTCCTTTCAGGCAACCAGGGTCTTAGGCAAACAATGTTTAACCCAACAGATACTTGTGCAGTGGAGATTTCAGACCAGGTAGCAGGGAAAGGGGCTTCCTGTTAGGAAACTAATTATACAGATCCTGAAATTTCACTGTTTGGCCACTTTTTTAACCCTTTATACTCAGGACTGGCTTTTCTTGGGTCATGGCAGAAACACAGATGTGTGGGACAGGGTGAGGAATTACCGGACTGAATGTTGGGCTCCACTGTACCAGGAGAGGAGCCATCTTGGGAGCAAAGCTCAGGGCAGAAGCAAGGCTAAGGAGGGCTTCCTGGAGGAGGAGACTGAGAAATAGGGCTAACCAATGGTGGGGAGGAGAGAGACAGACCAGGCAAGTCTGAGCAGGAGGAAGGTGTCTGTCTCAGGAATGGGCTGTGAGACTTATGGTAGAAGGGGATGAGCTGAGGTGCAGAGGAAGTTTGCCCAGCTCCAGCTGAACACGAGACAAGAGTGGTGGCAGATGAGAGGAGGACAGAAGCAGATGGGCTGGTCCCAGTAGGCAAGTCCTTGAAGCCATGTCCACACTTTCCAGGTCCCCAGCCCACTAGCAGGTGGCCTCTTACTGTGGTGAAGCAGTGCCAGGTGGATGGGATGTAGGGGCGCCTTCTCTCCTCTACAGCCAAGGTCCACAGCTCACAGGTGGTGGGAGTGCTGCCCAGTTCTGCCTCATAGGCCAGTTGGAAGGGTGGTGGTCTGCTGTCTGGGGAAAGGCACGTGGGGCTAGGTGTCAACTTGCCCTGGGGTGCCTCCTTGTGGAAAGGCCAAGAGGGAGAAGGGCAGAACTTCCTGGGTCAGGAGGTAGGTGCATCTAGAATGGGTGGGTGAGTTATGGCGGGGGGGAGAGGGGGCACTGTCGCACCCATCCTTACCAGGCCACAAATCTGGGCAGCGGCTCAGGATCTCCCATAGGAGCAGAGCCAGAGAGTACACATCGGCTTGTCGGAGGGCCGTGCCCCAGTCCTGTAGGTCCAGAGTCTTGTCCAAGAGCTCTGGCGCCATGTATCTCTGGGTGCCAGCCTGGAGAGAAAGGCGTGGAGCGCCAAGAACCATCTCCCGGGCAAGCCTCACTGCAACGTTGGTCCATGCAACTTCCCCCCAACTAGAGTCTGCAATGTCCCAAACGCTATAGGTACTGCTGCACTGTTGTCACAGCAAAAGGCCCATCTCCATCAGCAACACTGCCGTCATCCTGGGCTTCACCCTTATCCAGAGTACTCACCTCCATGATGGCAGCTGGGCCTCGGGGTTGAGTAGGGGCCCACGTGGGAGGCTGGGTGAGGCCAGGGAGCACCAAGGCAAGGCCCAGGTCTCCAATGGCACACGACCCATCCTCCCGAATGAGCACATTCTGGCTGCTCAGATCTCGGTGGGCGATACCTGGTTTATATTGGCCTGTGAGAGAAGCCAAGGTTGAAGGGGCATGGATCCTCTTCCTTTCTCTTTGGACCCAATTCTTCCCCTCCGAGCTAAGGGAGAATCAGAAACATAGCAGTGTGGTTCCTGATTCCCATGGCTTCCTACTTCCAGCTCACCCACCATCCTGCCAGCGCTCCTCATGGAGAAATGCCAGGCCCTGCACCAGAGACAGTGCCATCCGCATGGAACTTCCCCAGTCACTGGTGTGCTGGGTCAAGTAGTGGCACAGGGAGCCCTGGGGAGCAGCAGAGAAAAGAGGAGGACACATAAGCTGGAGGTGGCTGATCCACCCCAGGGAGCAGAGATCAATCTACAGACTTCCCCCTGCATCTCCCAGCAGACGACCTACTGATCCATCCAGGCCAAGACAAGAGCAGGGGAGAAATGAGAACATGCGTCTGTCAGATTGATGGGAAAAATAGTAACCCTAGCTCAAGTGTCTGAGTGCTTACTGTGTGCCAGGCCTCCTGAAATCCTCACAACCCTAGGAGACATGTACTCCTGTCACTCCTCTTTTATAGACGAGGAGCTTGAAAGAAAACTAAGTAAACCTGCTGGAAGTCACTTGGTGAGAAACAAGTAGAGCTTGAATCCCAGCAGTCTGACTCTAGGGTCACTCACTAGTAACTACCTTATCCTGCCTAGGGACTTGAGACAACAACAGAAGCAGAAGAGGCAAGGTGAGCTCAGTGTGGTGAACCACCTGGCCTGTGGTGTCAGGCCTGGGTGGGAGAGCAGGCCCCTGGGGAGAGCTGCTGGCAAGGAGAGTGAAAGGTGGGTAGCAAGTGGAAACTGGGAGGGGAAGGAGCATTAGCATCCCTCACTCAACAAACATTACTGAGCACCTTTAGTGTGCCAGGGAAGTTCAACAAACCAACCAACCCAAGAAAGCAGAGATTTTTGAGCTAGGCATTAAGGCACATGGTCAAAGAGGGGACTTCTCCGAATTCAAGATTTCAGAGGGAGAGGACCACAAGGGCTAATAAAGTCCCAAGTCCTTAGGTGGCCCACAAGGGTAGGTGTGGTCTGGTCCCTGCCTACCTTGTCCTCTTCATCCTTCCTGTTCATGATCCTCCCCTCCAGTCACATATCCTTATTCTTCTCTCATGGTACCTCCTCTCTCAGCACTCAACACGCTTGACATTTGGCGCTTATTTTTGTGTTTACCTGATTCACTTTTGTCTCCCCCACTACTCTATAAAATCTACAAAGGCGGGGAAGAGGCTGTTTGTCTTAGCACAGGAGGTATGGCATATGGTCCATAAATACTTGTTGAATGAGTGTGTAAATGGTTTGGAGGGCTGTGCCTGGAGGTATTTCCTTAAGGTTGGGAATATGAATAGTTTTGATTTCTCCTTCCCTATGTTTCATGAGTTAAAAATATTAGCAAGTATTTCTTGTCTAATAAAAAACCAAGAAAACAACAAAAAATCATTTCTAATGTTCTAGAGTAGAGGAAATCTGAAGCAGAAGAATAAACACGAGCAGGGCCCCGCTGCCACCCAGCGCGGCACCCACATACACACATGGGCAAAGACATAGATGTCCCTCCATCCTCACCTTCGGGTGCAGTTCCAGTACCAGCAGGGGCCCACAGGGCAGGGGGCCAGGGCCCCCTCTGCTGGCGGTGATAAAGCGGACAATGTGGTCGTGCTGTAGGCCTGGCAGTTCGTACACCGCTCTCTCAGCTTGGAACTGGGCCACAGCCCTCCGGGAGAAGGCCTTGATGGCTACCAGTTTGCCTTGCAGCCGCCCAGCCCACACCACTGTGTGACCTCCTTCCCAGATTACCTGGTGGGAACACAGTGCTGGGTGGGAACCTCTGCTGGTATCAGGACCAGGCTTCCTCCCCAGCACACCCTTTGGGAGGGATTGTAGGGCACCCCTCCCCCCACCCAGGGCACCTGGGAGAAACGCAGCTCAGGCAGCTCGGGCAGCTCGGGCAGCTCGGGCAGCTCAGCACTCCAGTCCCTGCCTGAGTCTGGCTCTGGCTCTGGCTCTGGCCCACCTTGTACTCTGCAGGCCTTTCGCTGTAGCAGGGCTGGGGCAGAAGAGCCCTCGGGTCAGGGTGCATAGGCATGGAGACTGGGAAAAGGGCTTTGTGGGAGGTAAGGGGCTCAGGCTGTAGAGATCTCAGAACCATGGGGTCAGGGGAACCCGGAGAGGGGTCAGAGCTTTGGGGCAGTGACTTGGAGTCACAAGGGAGGGATGAAGTCGATTAGTACCCAAGATGATGCTGCCCAGCAGCAGCAGGAGGAGGAAGAATAGCCCCAGCAGCACCAGTGCCATCCAGATGGACTCGCCTGGACAGTAAGGTAAGAATGCAGCCTGGATGAGCCCTGCCCCAAATCCACTCTGCTCCTCTCCCCCTCCTCAGAGAACTTACTTCTGGACCCACCCCCACATTGGTCACAAGCCCCTTATCTCCCAGTCACCAAGGCAACCAACTTCTCAAGGCCAGGAGGAGGACAACTTGGGATGGCGGTAGGGTGAGAACTGGCCCTGATTCTACCTCTCACCCTAACCTGGGCCCCAGCCCCCACCAGGCCCCAGCACCCTGCATGGCTACCTGGGACAGGTGGGGGACCCTGGGAGCCAGAAGTCCCAGGGCTCCCTGGAGGAGGCAGATGGCTGTAATTGGCATTGCAGAAGTCAGTGCCACAGGAGCAGGTGAAGAGAGTGGACCTGGGGCTGGGGTGGGCTCGGGGGCTCAGGTCACAGTGGGGGGACTCACAGTCTGGCTCATCACTGTCTCGGCATCCTGATGGGGTGGGATTAGAAGAGGAGAGAAAGGGCGAAAGGGACAGAGAGAGAGGGCAAGCGAGCATAATAGAGTCTAGGAACAGAGAGGATAACCCCCTTCTCTATCAGAGGCAACCCCTCCATCTCATACAGGCTTTTCTTGCCCTCCACACATTCCATTTCTCCTCCTCTCCCGCTGCTGTCACCCCCAGCCCAGGATGTACCTGTCTCCCACCCTAGCTACTACCTGCTATATACTTGGCCATTCACCTTGCATCTCCACCTGTGCCTGGTCTTGGGTCAGGTTCCAGATCCCAAAACAGCAGCGGCTGTAGAGGCAGCGGATAACCCTGGGGGGCCCTGGTCCTGCATCTAGCAGCTTCCCCAGTGTCTTTGTGCTTCCCCGCACTCCAGGGGCCTCAAAGAACACACAGGTCCGCCTGCTTGGGGGTGCTGTGGCCCAGGGTGGGGAGAGGGGAGGGTTCAAGATGGGCATGAATGCAGGGGCCAAAGCAGCAGCCAAAAGGAGAGACGCAACCTGTTTCATACCCTAGGGCCAGCACAGTAAACCCAGAGGAGGAAACAGGGTCAGCAGAGGTCTGGAACCTGACCTCACCGTGGGGACACATGGCTCTACTTTTTGCCCTCACTTACCCACCCCACTCACGCTTTCAAGGGTGTGGCTGCTGCTTCCAGTGCCCCTTTCCCTCTGTGGGTGAGTGAAAAGGCCCTGCCCCTCCCTGTAGACACTTACCGCGCACAGCTGTGGGAAGTGGTACCCAAAGGCCCAGAGTCCCCAGCATCATGCCGGAGGGGGCGCGCAGCACTAGGAGGGGAGCATGAGCCAGCACAGCTGCCCTGGCCAGAGCTTCCTTCAGAGACAGGGCGCTGTGGGGCTTCTGATCCCTCAGTCCCCAACCCCGCCCCCTCCCTCTTCCCAGTCTCTGTGGGGGAGATGGCTGCTGTGGGGGAGAGGGTGGGTGTAGGGAAAAGCAAGGAGAGGGAGGAGCAGAGAACCGAGCTCATATCCTCTGCAGCTGCCTCCTCTTTGCTCTGCAAAGTGGGAGGAGGGGTCTTAGAGGCCCAGCTGAGAACCCTATGATGCCTAACTTCAAGCCTCTGCCCTTTGCAGACCCTGGAAGAAAGTGCTGGAGCCTGTCAGCCCTTCCTAGGCTGGAAACCAGAGTGAGGTCAACGGAGCCATTCAGCTGTGCCCAATATCCTTTCTTTTCAGGGCTCAGATCTGCAGCTCTCTGGGCAAAGAGAGGCTTCATAAACCATACTAAAGTTGACCTCAGTTTCCAAACTCCAGAATCAGAAAAGAGTCATATAAAATTTCTCAGAGTTTAAAAAAGTCACATTGAAAATGGGTATAATGGTAAATTTTATGTTACCAAAATTTAAAAAATCATCTTGAGTCATACACTGAAAAAAATCACTGAGAAGGTAAAATAAAACAAAACAAAACAAAACAAAAAAACACTTTTATTGAGCACCTATGTGCTAGGGCACAGCTAGGGCTATGCATTTTACAGTCATCTCATCTCATTCTCCCATTGAGTTATTTATTATTATTTTCACTATACAGGTAAGAAAGCTGAGCTTAGGTAACTTGCCCAAGGTCACTCTGCTAGGAAATAGCAGAGCTAGGATTTGAACCTAGGTAAATCTGATTCCAAAGCCCAGGCCCTGTTCTTTATTCTATGATGCCTGAAAACAAAAAATTCAGTAATAAAAAATATTTCCATTTGATACAGTATTTGAATATTTGAATTTGGATTATTGAGAAAATATACACCATTACCTGCCAGCAGGCCGCTAACTAGAAAGGGAGGGTACAGTTCAAACTACCGCCACCAGAGGTCAGCAGACATAGGAGAAACTCAGGATGCTTCAAAGGGCAAAAGGGCCTCCTCTGATGACTAATATCCATAGTCCACCTTCTATATTTATTAAGCTGCAGGGACTGTATAATGTGAAGGCAGAGCTCAGGGTGTGCAGCGTGAATGGCAGCACGGAGATGGAAGAAGTCTACACTTGTGCTGCAATAGGAGACAGGAGTCCAGCTGCACCAGACTCCTCCCTAGAGTAAAGCATTTCAGTAATAGGTAATCATTTCCGTACCTGTGAGCAGTTGGCTCCCTTGAGAATTAAGAGTCAGAGGGGACTGGTTCCGTTTTCCTAGCCTTCTGTCCCCCTGGTGGTTGCCTAGAAACCCTTTCTGGGAACGGTCTGGCTTAGACCAGGACTGAGGGTATAGGTATTAACTGTCTAATTCTGGAGCCTTTCTCCTGGGGAGCCTGCATGAAGGAAGGAGAGAGTAAAAGCCCCCGGTACTTGTGAAGGAGCAGCCGGAGGAATGACCAGGGCCAGAGGCAGATGGATAGCTGCCCATCCCTCCCTGGGACCTTCTTGGAATCGGCAGGGCCCTGCCAGTGAGATGGAATGTTGTACTTAATTACAGCTATTTTCCTGCTCCCAGATCAGTTAAGTCTGGAGGGTTGGAGGGCAGGTGGGGAGTTGAGGGTCAAATAGCTTCTTGTGTCTGGAGTGTTTCAGGAGACTACTTCCTCCAGAGGGGAGCAAAGTAAGGATGAGGCAGAAAGGCCGCCTCCTCACCCAAAGCCTTGGGTGACTACTCCTCTCAAAGACAGAAACATCCCAGCCAGGTTTATAGGGTGAGGTGGTGATAGAAGGGGTAATAATCTGAATGCTGAGGGATTAGGAAGGTCCTGAGAAAGGACCCCAGCATAGAAACAGTTTCCCTGGATTCCACATACACAAAGATCTTTCTTCATCAGGATCCTGATTCAAGTCTGCAGTGGCCCAGTAAGTTACCTTTGACCCCCTGTCTACAGAGCTAACGTGAGTTGTTTATTCATTCAACTCAGAAAATATTAAGTCTCAGCCTTTCTTTTTTTATTGAAGTAATCTCTACACCCAGCGTGGTGCTCAAATTCATGACCCTGAGATCAAAAGTCACATACTCTTCCAACTGAGCCAGCCAGGTGCCCCAAGGTCTCCGTCTTAAAATGGAATTTCAGTAGGTGCTGGGCCTACAAAGAGATGCGTGTTTCCTGTCCTCCAGGATCTCATAGTCCAGAAAGGCAGGAAGATATATCAACAAGTAACCAGAAAATTATGGGTCAGACCAAGGGGTATGAGCAAGGAGCTCTATAAGCAGAAAGATCAAATAAGCTAATTCTGTACAGGGCATAGAAGAAAAGTACCTAGAGGGTTTCAAAGAGAAAGGGACAAATTGTCTTGAAGGTAAACACACTGAAAACAAGTAAAAGGAGGGTGATGATTATAGGCAAAGGGAGCATCAAAAATAGTGTGTGTTGGGGGCAGGGGGGAGTGAGCAGGAGAAAGAGGTATGAGATATGAAGCAGAAAATCACCCTAGAGACAGAGTGGGACCAGACTGGAAAGGTTTTTCAGGTCTATTATCAAGGAGACTAGACTTTTCCTGAAAGTAAAAGATTTTAGGGAGGGATTTGGTGCCAATGTGGAAGATGGATGACTAGGGTTTGGGAAGACTAGAAGCAGAGAGATCAGTTATGAGACCTGAGCAGTAGCCATGGTGAGTACTAGGGCAGTGGAAATAAAAAGGGAAAAAGTTGATACACATTGTATTGGTAATATTGACAGGATTGGTAATCAAATGAATGTGGGTATTTGAAAGTGAGAATTAAAAAGATGATTCTGAGGTTTCAAGTATAAATGATCAAGGGGTAGTAATACTGTTAAGTGAGATGGGGAACACAAAGGATCATTTCTCCTTCTTACATCTTGATTTTGAGTTATCTGTGGGACATCCAGATGAAAATGTCCCGTAAGCAGTCTGCCAGGTTGAGAAAAAAGGCAGGGCTTAAGATTTGGGATAGCTAAAGAGTGGATGCAACTTGTTTAAGGGGATGAAAGGTAGAGTAAGGGAAAGGACACAAGACAGGGACACCAACATTTAAGGGACAGAGGAAGAAGTGGCTATGAAGGAGAACCAGGAGTATCAGTCTCACACTCCAAGGGAATGAAGCTCTAAGATGTACATGGTTGCAAGAGGTCTAAGAGGCAAATGACTGAAAGACCACCGGAGCTGGCAACCAGATTGCAGATGTTCATAAGAAACAATTTCGTACATGATAGGTGCTGAACAAAGTGGCCTGAGGGGCTCACTAAAAGAAGACAAAAATTGTCAACTACTCTCACTAACTTTGGAAATGAAAAGAACTAGATCTGAAGCTTGAAGTGGAAGCAGAGGGACAGGGGGAGAGATTTCAACATGCTTATAGGAAGACGAAAGGGAACCCAGGAGAAACTGAAGATGAAAGGGGAAAATACTATCCAAATGAGGAAATGAGGTTAAGAGCACAGGTAGTAGGGCTGGCCTTGCAAAGGCCAACTTTCTCTCCCAAGAAAAGATAAGGAGGGGCGCCTAGGTGGCTCAGTCGTTAAGCATCTGCCTTCTGCTCAGATCAGGATCCCAGGGTCCTGGAATGGAGCCCAGCATCGGGCTCCCTGCTCAGCGGGATGCCTGCTTCTCCCTCTCCCACTCCGTTTGTGTTCCCTCTTTTGCTGTCAAATAAATAAATAAAATCTTAAAAAAAAAGAAAAGATAAGGAGGTAAACTAGCATTGGTGAGTATACGGCTGTTTGTAGGGAGATAGGGAGAGGTGAGGGAAGTTTGAGGAAATTCATGCTTAAACGTTCTCTCCACGAAATAGGAAGTAAAGCATCTGTTAAAAAATGGGGTCAGGATTGGGAGCCCTGCAAGTAATGATCTCTCTCTCACTTACCAGACTATCAAGTATGTGGTGGCAGGACCGGTCTTATTTTTTATCCTCAACCTAGCTCAGCACCCGGGACATAGCAAGGGCCCAATAAATGTTTACTGAATGAATAGATGATATAGCTATTAAAGGCCCATTTAGGGCTACAAAACCAAAACCAAAACCAAAACAAAAACCCCAAAACACCCAACTCCCCCCCAAAAAATACCCTCCAATAAAGCCAAATGTTAAAATGTTATATTGCTAATGGCTAAATAAGGAAATCCAATGACTGAGTTTACCCATGGCTGAGTGATTGAAAAGCAAAGGGAGTCAAATGAGCAAAGTAATTGAGAATGCTGGTAGCCACTGTATAAACAAGTGACTGAGGATTCTTGGATAGGTAGGAAGGGAAGGGAAACCATAGGCTGATGGGAAATTGGAAAGGCCATCAGAGTAACTTCAATTTCAGTTTCTGAAGGGACCATAATCCAGATTCAATCACGTTAGACACAGGCTGCTATTAACTGAATGTAAAACATATTGGGACTAGATCTTAAGTTTCTAAATACCATTCTCCAATAAAAAGAACGAAGGCTCCTTGGAGAAATGGCTGATTCTAGGGCTGGGGCTGGGAAAATACAAGGTTAAGTCTGAAGCATCTTGTGTTTCGGAACGTTCTTTAGAAAGTGCTCAAAAAAGGAAAAGGATGTAGATGTATCAAAGAGACTCAGGAGTCAACCTGAAAGAGCTCCCAATGCCCAGAGCTGGGACAATTTGAGCAATGAAAATAATGTAGAACTGGATTATAACCTAAGTATAAAATAAACATACATGAGTACATACTAATATAAATTAAGAGTGAGAAGAGACAATTTCCTCACAGAATTCCAAATACTCTTATGTAGTTACTTCCATCGGGAAGGGAAACTTAAATTCCCACCAATTCCATTAAGGATGCGCTAGGCTTACTGACTTGCTTCCCAAGAATAAGGAAACACAGTGGAGAAAGCTGGCAAGCACTACCTTAACTAGGGTGATGAAGGTTAGCATTGGTAATGTCACGTGGCTCTCATATACCCAAGAGGATGTAATGAGAAAGGCATTTCACACTGTTTCACCTGTGTGGTATTTCTTCCAAAAACCTGGGAGCTCAGTCTAATAATGAGGAAAACATCAGACAAATTCAGATTGCGGGATATTCTACAAGACATTTAGCCAATACTCCCAGACTGTCAAGGTCATGAAAAATAAGAAAAGACTAAGAAACTGTCACAGACCAGATGCGTCTGGGGAGACCTATCAATGAAATGCAATGTAGCATCCCAGAACGGATCCCGGATCGGAAGGAGGACATCAATGGAAAACCTGGTGAAACCCACAGAGCCTGGGGTTTAGCTAATGTAATGTACTAGCATCAGTTTCTGAGATTTGACAACACACCACAGTAGTATGTTAACAATGGAAAAAAACTGGAAAGGAGTATATGGAATCTCTCCGCACTCTGTAGCTTTCCTTTAAATTTAAAAGTATTCCAAAATAAAAAGCTTATAAAATTTTTTTTTAAAAAGAGGTTGGGCCTGCCCTGTTCCTCTTGGTCCTCCACATTTCTATGTACTCGTGGCACACTGATCTGATCATGAAACTGTTTGCCTGGGAGCTAAGCGTGGGGCAACTGCACCGACTAACATGTATGGGAGCACCACCGTATACCTGGAAAACTTTGTTGGGTACAGTATATGAAGTTATAACCATATTTTCCCCATTCCCACCCTGTCAACACACCAGAGACATGGCTTTTTATTAAAAAAACTTTTTTTTTAATTGGTTTACAAAGGAGCTACAGACTACATTGAAACTAATCTTTGTACAAAAAGGCCAAAAAAAAAAAAAAAAAAAAAAAAAGCCCCAAAACACCCAGAGACAAAAGGTAGGGGGGAGAGACAAGAAAGGAAGATACAAAAGAGCAGGAAGAAACTGAAAGACAAGAGATTAGCATCATACATACACAAGATCAGGGGGAAAAAAGAGCAAGAACAGATGAGAGAGCATTTAAAAGTATTTCCCCACACGGCCCTGGTGATAATCGGATTGGAATCAACAACAAACACAGCATGAGAATATTAAGAGGTTTAAAAAGGCAACAGTGGTATGGAGACTGGTTATCGCCAGTATTGAGAAAGAGAAATAAACTTGTTTTAGGCACCAGAGATTGGAGCACTGCCCCTCCCTCCCAGATGATGACAGACTGGGTAACAGGAAGCAGGCCCTGGGGCAGCTGCCATTGGTGTGTGTAAAAAGGGTCTCCTCAGGTCAATCTCAGTATATTTCCCCCAGCTTCCCCCAAAGTCTTTGTGCCCTAGACTCCAGGTGAGGGCTATGGGATGCCACTGGGAGAAAAAGGTGAAGACCTGCCCTGTCCACACCGTTCAAGAGCAGTTGCTGGGAAAGTGGAGGGCTGGGTCGACAAAGCCCATTCCCCTGTGGAGAAGGCACAGTGTAATTCCTGAAGGTGAGATAGAGGAAAACACACACCCCAGGAGAGGTATTAACAGAGTCCTCACTACCTGCAACCCCAGCTTAACCCCATTTGTTATGCTTTTTTTTTTTTTTTTTTTTTTTTTGATACTGAAGGGAGTTGAGGGATAGTTCACCACACCTCTTCTCACTTAAAAGGGACAAGGCAGGCTAGGGGTTGTTTGATAATAAGGAAAGAGGAAAACGGGACAATGTACTCATTTCTCTCCAATGAACGTGGTAGAGGAAATCTTTCTGGGTTTGGGGAAGTCAAACTGGAAAAGACGTAGGGGAGGAATGAAGCCAGGGACTCCCCTTTTTTACCCTTTCCCAGCCTTCACTCTTAAGGCAAGTAAGCCAAAACGGGAAGAGGGAGTAGGAATTTAAGCTTAAGGCTGCTTAATGTCCTCCTGGGGGCTGGTGTTTAGGGAAGGCAGACAAAGAAAAGAAACAGGTCAACCTCAAAGCTGGTCTGCTCATCCTCCTAGAAGAGGTCTGTACCCCAGGAGGAGAGCCAAGAGAGGCACCAGAGAGAACACAGGCTCCCAAACAAAAGTAATAACCTGCCCATGTTTTATCAGCAGTTTCAAAAGCAATGTTTTCCGGGATTGGAGGAGTGCCATATCCTCCTCCCTTTCCCCAAAACTACTGCTGCCACCTTTCATCCTTGCATATAAGTTACTGGCTCTCTTCTAAGGGAGATGAAACTCTGAGATTTCACATTTCTCTTCCTCACCCCAAGAGGCTACCCAGCTTTGAATAGGGGGAAGGAGAGCTATGCTAAGGGCCCCTCACTTGAGGAAGCTAGACTATCTGCATTTCCTTGGTACCGGGATCTCCAAAAATTGTTTGCTCTGATCCCAAGGTCCAAAAGGCATCAGGGTACTTACAATTGAATGAAAACTCTAAGCAAGTAGCACCAGGGCTCCCCCAAAGCGTAACAGGGGCCTGATTAACACCCCCCGAAGAACCCCTCAAAAAGTATATAAATTTATTGCGTCCTAGCAAAGATCTGCAGTTTCCAGTATTCACACAATGTGAAGATATTAACAATACAAAATATATTCTGAAAGTCAAACATCCGCAGTTCATAGTGCTTTCTCAGATTTGTTAAAAAAATACAATGCTTAGTTTCCTATATAGGATATACAAAAGCAAAAAAAATATATATATATATATGTATATAGTAGAAATAAATCAATCAGCCATAGTAATTTACAGCTTTTGTCTCTAACCCTCCCCCAATCATAATCTTTACCCCATACTTCAGTCTATACTTTCTGGGATCAAGGGTTCTATTTATTCTGAATCAGGCTGAGAAATACCCATTAAATGGCATTCTGCATAGCATCCACAAACAGGGTGCTAGCTGGGAGGTCCCTGAAGGAAGATGGGTGTGGGTTGTTACTGCCCTGGCTTATAAGAGAGACAGTCAAATGGTACACAGATGAATGTGAATGGGCAACCTGAAGGGACAAGGGAATGGGTGCTTTAATATTACCACTGTTCTGGGCATCCCCTGCCCCACAGGTTTGGTCATTTAAAAAATTTAAATAAAAAAAGCAACTCATGAAAAAAATTTTAGAATCAATATGCCTGTCAATTACATTAATTTCTGCTGGCCAAAATGTTCAGGGAGAGGGATTTTCAGCAATGAGCTCATGACTCAAGCACTGCTGGCTCCCAAACTCCCTGTGGAAAACACTGAGCGGCTCACTGCTGCTGGAAGACAGGAGAGGAAGCTGCTTCAGTCTGGGGGCCAAATAAGATACTGCATTTGGAGCTTCCTTGGCAACAAGGAAAGAGGGCAAGTGGAGAGAACGGACTAGGAATTCACTTATAACAATGCTCATGAAGGGGGCTGAGGGTAAACCAGCATTTCATCCCAGAGAAAATCATCATCAAATAACCTTCTAAACACTTGTAGTCCTCAGCATCATTAAGCTAGTTTATATCAAATAATTTCATACTGGGGAAGATTCCATTTCTTGAAATGCTCTAGCAAAATACCACACACTCCGGTGAGTTATCCTGCCCCTTTCCTCCAAAAGATGCCTACGTACATGATTACAGACATACAATAACAGGTTCTGAGTTCTGCCTTTCAGTGGGAATAAAGGGTGTGTGATAAGTGGCTGGGCACGGATGACTTTTACTTCAGTATTAACAGAATTTGATTTGGGGAAAGTTCCTCGCAATAGTTCCTGAGTGTATGAAGTCTGCAGGGGAAGGACCAAATGGAGTGAACTACTGTTTAGAATATCAACAGTTATTGTATTTCTGGTTAAACAACAACACAAAATTACCCAGACCCTAATTTGGATAGATTTGATATAAAATATATAGTAGAATCATAGCATCATCTATTTGTAGTCAAGGTAAAAAGATTTATGAAAGAAACTAGGACGCTGCTATAGATCTGGATGTTGGTTTCACTTTCAAACACAAAAATAGTTTTTTCTTCAAAAGTGCAGTCGAATATCCCCCATCATTAATTGTAACTAATTTAGCATAAGCAAAGAAATGACCTCAGGAACATACCCAGGTTTTAAGACAGATTTCTAGGTAATGGGCCTGAAAGGCATTTTTGAGCTGAATTTGATTTATTTTCCAACAATTTCAAATATAATTTCTCATTGTGTAGATATATACAGGCACAAACACACATACACACACAGTCATACACAAACACTTCATTTTCTATCAGATCAGGGCAATTTTTTATTGCAGGTCTCTTTTAGTATAGGCTAACAGAAAACCTATCCCCAACCTAACAGATTACACACATACACACAGCCATTTCCACACTTCCTCACAGTGAAAAGCTCTCTGACAAGATACCAGAAGGTCAAGAGAGACAATGTTTTAATGGCTGGGCCTTGAGGACAACTCTGGTTGCATTTAAATCTCAGTGCCAAATGCACTAAGAGTTCCCTGCCGCTATAATTTTTGGATCAGTCTCTTCAGGAATCAGGCCATGGAGAAAGCAGGATGGCGTCTCCCGATCTCTCCTATAAACCACAGTGGTAAGACAAGATTTCTTTTTGTTCTGAGCTATCATTCCCATGATCATGTGCTTCCTTTTCCCTTAGGAACCACCCAAGGAAGAGTTAAGGGAAAAGATCAAGGAACCACTGCCTTGCCACTAGGTACATGCTCTGGAGTTCTGCAGAATGGAAACTGGGAACAGATTCATTGGCTGATGCTCCTTAACAACATGAGAAAGAAACTACTGGGGATGTTCAAAAGAGGAAGTGCATTTCCTTTCAGAATGTGACCCCAGAAACCCAGACACCAAAGCTCAGAGCTACTTTGGAAGACACTGTACACAAGTCCAAATACTCCACTAACTCCTGAACTGGACTACTATGAGTCACTTCCGCTTCTGGGCACATCATTTTCCTATTGAAAGCCCCTACCTATTACTTGACCGCTTTTTGATGGTTTATACAAACTGATCCCAGATTATAACCTTTAAAGGGTCTCTTGTACAATTCCATAGAAAGACTCTTGATGCTTAAAGCAGCTACTGACGAGAGGTGCCTTGGACTCTCCAGCGCCAAGACGGTGCCTGCGTCAGTAGTATTTTGAACACTCTCTCCACAGCTACCTCAAGCATCAGCCTGGGCTTCAAGGCTCTCCATTCTGCTGCTGGGAACAAGGACCTTAAAAGACTAACAGAAGTGCCTCATCCAAGGATCATTACCAAAACCAAAACATGAAGTGATCAGGTGAGAGAAAGGGAGACAGAAAGGTTGAGTCAAGAAAGGAGTGCAAGAAGCTGATCCCAAATAAAAAGACAAAATTAAGAAAGGAAAAACATTATGTATGTATATATAAACTAAAAGCAGAGCATATGAATGCTTAATCTGGTGGGAAGCCAAGACAACATCTATAGAAAAGCTTGATGTGTCACAACAAGGCTCAGCCATAGGGAAATAAGGCAATATAAAAAAATGACCAAGGTATTTTGGTCACAGAATGGTCTCCTTCCTCCTCCCAGCCAACCCCTGCAAATGCATCTCTATATATCTTTTATATATATATATATATTTATATATATATAATATAGAATCTGTTTTTTTGTTAAAAAGTATTTCAATGATCATATATATTTATCAAGGCATGATGGCTTTAGGAAAGGGGGGATCCATCATGGGGAAGCTGAGAAGGGAAACGCAGGAAGGGGAGGCTGGGATAAGAAGTGTAAGAAACTGGGGTCAAACAAATGCTCATCAAAGGGTGGCACCAACAGAATTTTCACTAATGTTTCCCACTTCAAGGAGGTACTGATGATATAGGTGGGTGCCAAGACCCCATCTCTTCTCTTATATCCCTCCCCCAATTCTTCCCACCACCATGCATTTTAATGCCTCATGGCTCTCTCTCCCACATGTCTCTTGGACCCATGCTACCTTGCATCCCAGGGTTGATGGGTATGGCCCATATGTCTCTGGCCCCGGGTGCCTGATCTCAGAAGCCATTGCCACTGATATTAATGGACTGCAGATCCGCCACCTGCATGACGTTGATGCCACTGTTGGCAAGACGGGCAATACCCTCTGGACAGATGGCCTCCATGGCTACCATATTGGTGGTAATAAGGGCTGAAGGGGTGGCAGTGCCGCTGCCTTCTGAACCTGCCCCACTGTCCAGGGGCAAAGTGCCCACACTCAGGGATACACCTGGGCCTCCCTTCTTATTCTGGTGGGTCTTGATATGCTTTGACAGGTGGTCACTCCTCATGAAGCGCTTGGGACACTCAGGGCAGGCAAATTTCTTCTCACCTTAGTAAAAGAAGAGAACGAAGATAAGATACAGACATCTTAGGAAGAAGGGTTACCTTGTCCAATTCACTGTTTTCAAACTATATTAGAATATTAGAATATTAGGCACTCTTAGAAGGTGATAAAAACAAGAAAAATCTGTTGAGTATCTTTTTCTTTGGAGCGGGGAGAAAAATAGGTAAAGTTCAAGGAGTACTCAGAAAGGAAGGACTATAGCAGAAAAGGCAGGACTGAGACTAAGAAGAATAATGGGCCACGGTCCTCCTTTAAAATCCCACTGAAGGGGTGCCTGGGTGGCTCAGTTGGTTAAGCAACTGCCTTCAGCTCAGGTCATGATCCTGAGTCCCAGGATCGAGTCCCACATTGGGCTCCCTGCTTAGCAGGGAGTCTGCTTCTCCCTCTGACCCTCCCTGCTCTCATGCTCTGTCTCTCTCTGCCATTCTCTCTCTCAAATAAGTAAAAAAAAATTTTCTAAAAAAATAAATAAAATAAAATCCCACTGAAAACCTAGCTCCTTCCTTCTGAAAGGTTTTCCAGATTAACTACAATTCCATTTATATTCTATACATTCACTTTCAAACTTAAGTTGCTCAGAAATTTATTTCACAGCTATATTTTGTGTCTTTCTTCTATTCTATTACTGTTTCTCTCTTCCCCAGGTTGCTCCTCACCTGTATGTGTGCGTTTGTGTCTCTGTAGCTCATCCGAACGTGTAAAGCGTTTCCCACAGTATGACCAGGTACACATGAATGGCCTCTCGCCTGTATGCCAGCGCAAGTGTGCCCGTAGGTGTGAGGTCTTGCCATATACTTTGCCACAACCTTGGATGTGGCAAATGTGCTGTTTCTTTTTGCCAGGGTCCCCAGAGCCCCTGAAAATAAGAACACAACTATTCATCATGCATTCTAGAGACAAAAATTAAAGAACCTCAGTGTCAGCAGTTATTACCTGACCCACTCAAAACTAACCCAAATTTTTATTTTAAAAAAAGGCTTCTCTTGGGGCACCTGGTTGGCTCAGTCAGTAGTGCATGCAACTCTTGATCCTGGGGTCGTGAGTTCAGGCCTCATATTGGGGGTAGAATTTACTTAAAAAAAAGAAGAAGAAGAAGTAGTAAAGACTTCTTTTTAGTATCAAAAGATAAATCTTTAGGGGTGCCTGGGTGGCTCAGTCAGTTAAGCATCTGACTCTTGATTTACGTTCTGGTCATGATCTTGGGGTTGTGAGATCAAATCCCACGCTGGGCTCTGCACTGAGCATGGCGTCTGCTTGAAATTTGCCCTCTCCCTCTGCCACTACCCCCGCTCACACTCTAAATAATAAAATTAAATAAAAAGATAAATTTTTAGTTGATTCTGATTCTTAATATCCTAAATTCAAGTTTTAAGTTCCCTCTCTACTGGGTATTTACTCTTTCTTGTTTTTTCTATTCCTTAATCATTTTTTATTTTTTTAAAGATTTTATTTATTGGCACCTGGGTGGCTCAGATGGTTAAGCGTCTGTATTCGGCTCAGGTCATGATCCCAGGATCCTGGGATGGAGCCCCACATCGGGCTCCTGACTCGGCGGGGAGTCTGCTTCTTCCTCTCCCTCTGCCTCTCCCACTGCTCATGCTCTCTATCTCTGTGTCTCAAATGAATGAATAAAATCTTTAAAAAATAAATAAACATTTTATTTATTTATTTGAGAGAGAATGAGAGACAGAGAGAGCACATGAGAGGGGGTAGGGTCAGAGGGAGAAGCAGGCTCTCTGCTGAGCAGGGAGCCCAATGTGGGACTCGATCCTGGGACTTAAGGATCATGACCCGAGCTGAAGGCAGCCACTTAACCAACTGAGCCATCCAGGCGCCCTTCCTTAATCATTCTGATGTGTGAAGAGATAATTGCTCTCACGATCACTTGTCAAGTCTGTGAGGAATTTTCTTGTATTTATCACAAATTTTAAATCACAATACAAGCATTTTCCATGGGGAATGTGAATATGGTGCTATTTTTGGCTGGGAACTTACTTACGGAGCAAAAGGTCTCTCCATTTAAACACCTGGTGGAAAACTTTAAAGAAAACGTAATAGTTTACAACTATGAACTTATTTCCTAAAATAAAGGTCAAGAGCCAAATGGTGAAGGGCGCCTGGGTGGCTCAGTTGGTTAAGCGACTGCCTTTGGCTCAGGTCATAATCCCAGGGTCCTGGGATCGAGCCCCGCTTCGGGCTCCCTGCTCCGCGGGAAGCCTGCTTCTCCCTCTCCCACTTCCCCTGCTTGTGTTCCCTCTCAGGCTGTCTCTCTGTCAATTAAATAAATAAATAAAATTAAAAAAAAAAAAAAAAAAAACGAGCCAAATGGTGAAGATTACATTATCAGGGACTTCAGAGTAGAGGAAGATGGGCTGGATAAAAGTTAAAACAGGGGAATAAAAACCCTAATTCAAGGTATATATATATAAAAAAAATTTATATATATAGACATATATATATATTCCCTATATGAAGCAGTTTGTAAGCTCCTCTGAGGCATCAGTTCTGAAATGTTTTTGCCAAACCAATTTGTTCCATGTATAATCCATTAGTGGGCATTGGGGAGATTTCCAAGAGGGACTTTTCTTGGGTTTTAACAGCAGAGGGAAAAAAAACTGTAATGGAAATGAAATCATTACCTTTGGAGAGTTACCTTTGAAAATTTAAATCCACTTTAAGTTTGTTTGTTTTTTTTTAAGACCCTATCTATTTATTTGATAGAGGGAGACAGCGAGAGAGGGAACACACACAGGGGGAGTGGGAGAGGGAGAAGCAGGCTTCCCACAGAGCAGGGAGCCCGATGCGGGGCTCGATCCCAGGACCCTGGGATCATGACCTGAGCCGAACGCAGACGCTTAACGACTGAGCCACCCAGGCGCCCCAAGTTGTTTTTTGTTTTTAAATATTTTATTTATTTGACAGAGAGAGACACAGTTAGAGAGGGAACACAAGCAGGGGGAAAGGGAGAAGCAGGCTTCCCACAGAGCAGGGAGCCTGACACAGGGCTCGATCCCAGGACCCTGGGATCACGACCCGAGCCGAAGGCAGGTGCTTAACGACTGAGCCACCCAGGCGCCCCAAGTTTTGTTAGAGGGAAACTCTATTGTATTCATGCTTTTTTTTTCTTTTTTTTTTTTTTTAATTTTATTATTTTTAAGTAATCTCTACACCCAACATGAGGCTCGGACTTACAACCCCATGATTGGGAGTTACACACTCCACTGACTGAGCCAGTCAGGTACCCCTCAGTGCTTCTGATTCAGATTTTTCCTGTAATGTAGGGTTAACCTATAAAGAACTCAAATTATATTTAGTTTTGTTGCTTTTCTTATTTTTGTATCTTTGTACTTAATTTTGTTGGGACAAAACTTTAACAGATTTTATTTCCAAAGGCATTAAAAAAATCTGGATGACTTTCTATTCTCTTTCAAAAGCAGTGAGTTGAAGAAAAAGAATGTAACTTGGAACTCTCCAGAGATAATACTGAATAAAACTGAATATTCCACTAATAAGAAAAATTTGCCAGAACTTTGTTCTGTAGGACACATTAAATTCCAGGATAGAAGAATTTTCTATCTGGAGTAAGCACTTCTGTCTATTTTGAGGGAAAATAAGACTCTATAAACCCTTAGGATTCTCACACAGCCACTGTAAAAAATCATTACAGTAGGTATGTTTCTTTTTCTTTGCAAGACTATTTTATAAGCAACCTTGTTAAAACCATTTCAAAACAGACATATGGTAACAATCATTTGACCAGTTGGCTCCATGTGATTACCTTATCTCTGGAGAAGGCAGGCACCTATTAAGGCCCAAGGTCTTAGAGTAGATCAAAGGATCAGAGCTGGAACCAAAATCCTATAATATAACCCAATCAAATGTATTGTACTATCTCTGGTCCCTTTGCAACACTGCCAAGTCTTAAATGTTAAAAAATTAACCCTCTTCTGTTTACCTCCAAATCCATTAATTTTTCTCCTTTATACTCTTAAGAGACTGGCTTGGCTGGGTCAGCTTACCTTCCTTCACTGTCTTTACAGTAGGGGCAGGTGCATGCTTCTCGCCGGGTCCTCCGACCAGCTTGGGGCTGGGGATCTGGGCTGTTTTCCCCTTCTTCTCCACCTGCTGTGTCATCATGTATTCCGTCACCACCAGCTCCATGGAGGCCAAGCTGGGCTCCATGATCACCTTAAATTAAGAGAGTAAAGGGTCAAGGTGGGAAGTAGAGGAGATTGTCAAGCTGTGGTCATTTCAGTGACACTTTACGTTTATAGCACCATTTCTTCACAGCTTTGAAGCCATATTTACTGATACTGCCGTCCATCCTTGAAATCTCAAGAATCAATTTGTATTTGAAAATACAAAGAGCTAGTAAATATATAAAAACATGGTCAGTCTCATTTAAATTTTATTTTTTTTGAGGGGGGGGAAGGGGCAGAGGGAGCAAGAGAATCTTAAGCAGGCTCCACACCCAGCACAGAGCCCGATACAGAGCTCAATCTCACCACCCTGAAATCATGCTATGAGCCAAAACCAAGAGTCAGAAGCTTAACTAAGCTATCTGGGCGCCTCTTTTTTTTTTTTTTTTAAGATTTCTTTTTAAGTAATCTCTATACCCAGTGTGGGGCTCAAACTTATAACCCTGAGATGAAAAGTCACATGCTCTACCGACTGAGCTAGCCAAGTACCCCATTCTCATTTAATTTTTCAAATGCAACTCTAGGGGCACCTGGGTGGCTCAGTCAGGCATCTGCCTTTGAATGATCCCGGGGTCCTGGGACAGAGCCCCACATCAGGCTCCCTGCTCAGCGGGGAGTCCACTTCTCCATCTCCCTCTGCCTGCCACTCCCCCTCTGCTTGTGTGCATGCTCTCTTAAATAAACAAATAAAATCTTTAAAAAATAGAAATAAAATTCAACTCTAGGTGGACTTTTGTAATTTTTCACCTATCAGTTCACAAAAAATTAAAACAAACAAAAAAACACGAGAAGTCTAAACTCTAATAATGCATAGCATTAGCAAGGACATGGGGAAAGAGGCTTTCCCTTTTTTTTTTTTTTAAGATTTCATTTATTTGACAGAGAGAGACACAGCGAGAGAAGGAACACAAGCAGGGGGTGTGGGAGAGGGAGCAGCAGGCTCCCGTGAAGCAGGGAGCACGATGCAGGGCTTGATCCCAGGACCCTGGGATCATGACCTGAGCCGAAGGCAGACGCTTAATGACTGAGCCACCCAGGTGCCCCGGAAATAGGCATTTTTTAAAAAAAGATTTGATTCATTCAAAGAGAGAGAGTATATAAGCAGGGGAGCAGCAGGCAGAGTTGGAGAAGCAGGCTCCTCGCTGAGCAAGGAGCCTGATGTGGGACTCAATCCCAGGGCCCCAGGATCATGACCTGAGCCAAAGGCAGATGCTTAACCGACTGAGCCACCCAAGTGTCCCAGGAAATAGGCATTTTTATATATAGGTGGTGATAAATCAATACCACATTTTAAGTCCAATTTGGCAATATTATTAAAAACTTAGGGGCTACTGGATGGCTCAGTTGGTGGAGCATGTGACTCTTGATCTCCAGGTCGTGATTCAAGTCCCATGTTGGGCACAGAGCTTACTTAAAAAAAATAAAATTACATTTAGAAAAAATTTAAATGTGTACCTTCAAAGTAATTCCACTTTTTGTTTTTTTCAAGATTTTATTTATTTATTTGACAGAGAGAGACACAGCAAGAGAGGGAACACAAGCAGGGGGAGTGGGAGAGGGAGAAGCAGGGTTCCCGCCGAGCAGGGAGCCCAATGTGGGGCTCGATCCCAAGACCCTGGGATCATGACCTGAGCCGAAGGCAGATGCTTAACGACTGAGCCACCCAGGGGCCCCAAAGTAATTCCACTTTGAATCAGCAATGTCCTATGGATATACTCATGAGTATACAAAAATATGTGACAATAATATTTTCTATAGCTTTATAACAACAAAGAACTAGAAACCATCAAATGGTACACATCAGAGCAGTTAAATAAATTATGATAAACTTATGCAACTGAACACTATACACCCATGAAAAAGAATGAGATAAAGGTATGTGCTGTTACAGAAGATGGTCATGACCCAGTATATTGATATTATGAAGCACTAATGTGTCACACTTAACGTTTTCAAACACTTCTCTAGGCCAATGGACAAAAGTAATGTTTCAAAGAGGTATCATATCCTCAAGTTTTCAAAGCATCAACCAACAATAAGTATTCACCCATGAAAGCACCTTGCGAAAAAGTTAATGACTCTATCCATACTTAAGATTTCTATAAAGAGATTTGATTTGATTTTTTTAAAGATTTTATTTATTTATTTGACAGAGAGAGACAGTGAAAGAGGGAACACAAGCAGGGGGACTGGTAGAGGGAGAAGCAGGCTTCCCGCCGAGCAGGGAGCCCGATGTGGGGCTTGATCCCAAGACCCTAGGATCATGACCTGAGCCGAAGGCAAAAGCTTAATGACTGAGCCACCCAGGGGCCCCTATAAATGGAGATTTTAAATTGGCCTGCTTTGTTTTTACCTGTTGTATAAAGAAACAAACAACTACAAATCTCAGCTCCTGGTTTTACTTCTGTACCTAATCTCCACTCTTTTCAGTGCATCAACATAATTTTGAGTAACTATGCCTAATAATAAGCTCTCCTCATGATTTCCTTCTCACTCTACCACTTCTTTATTTATTTAGCTATTTATTTATTTATTTATAGATTTTATTTATTTAACAGAGAGAGAGCGTGAGCGCACAAGCAGGGGGAGCAGCAGGCAGAGGGAGAAGCAGGCTTCCTGCTGAGCCAGGAGCCCAATGCGGGACTTGATCCCAGGACCCTGGGATCATGACTGAGCGAAGGCAGATGCTTAACGGACTGAGCCACCCAGGCGTCCCTAAGATTTTATTAAGGGGGAGGGGCAGAGGAAGAGGGAGAGAGAGTCTTTTAGGTTTTTTTTTAGATTTTATTTATTTGACAGAGAGAGAGAGCGCCAAGCACAAGCAGGGGAAATGGCAGGCAGGGGAAGCAGGCTCCCCGCTGAGCAAGGAGCCCGATGTGAGGCTCAATTCCAGGACCCTGGGATCATGACCTGAGCTGAAGGCAGATGTGTAACCAACTGAGCCACCCAGGCGCCCCAGGAGAGAGAGTCTTAAGCAGACTCCCTGCTGGGCGTGGAAGCCCAACCCACGTTGGCTCAATCTCAGGACCTTGAGATCACGACCCAAGCAGAAACCAAGAGTCCAATGTTTAACTGACTATACCACCCAGGTGCCCCTCACTCTACTACTTCTAAGCACCAGCCTATGGAATTAAATAAAATAAATTGGAACATTCTGAGATTTTCATGATACTGGCAGAGCTAAACTGGAAGGACTGGAGTACAGGGTTAAGAACAGGTTTTGGAATAGGACAGATGTAGATATGAGTCCCTGCACAGCCATTTGATTAGCTTTTTGACAGTGAGCCAGTAAAACTTCTCTAGTTATCAGTTTCTCCCTTAGCAAAAACTGGGATGAAATATTATCAATCTCGGGGCGCCTGGGTGGCTCAGTCGTTAAGCGTCTGCCTTCACCTCAGGTCATGATCCCAGGGTCCTGGGATCGAGCCCCACATCGGGCTCCCTGCTCGGCGGGAAGCCTGCTTCTCCTCTCCCACTCCCCCTTGCTTGTGTTCCCTCTCTCGCTGTGTCTCTGTCAAATAAATAAAATCTTTAAAAAAAAAAAAAAAAATTCTGGGCGCCTGGGTGGCTCAGTTGTTAAGCGTCTGCCTTCGGCTCAGGTCATGATCCCAGAGTCCTGGGATCGAGTCCCACGTCGAGCTCCCTGCTCAGCGGGAAGCCTGCTTCTCCCTCTCCCACTCCCCCTGCTTGTGCTCCTGCTCTCACTGTCTCTGTCAAATAAATAAATAAAATCTTTAAAAAATAAAAAAAAATTCTTACAAAATGGACAGTTAAACCTGATATCCTCCTCAATCCCTGCTATGATTTCAAAGGATTTTTTAAATATGAAAACTGAAAATGGGGTTAAATGAGTTTCATTTAACAAAAAGAGGGATAAAATGCCAACAAAGCATCGACATCAGACCAGAATCTGTTTCCAGCCTCTTTTTTTAATAACAGTTTTAGAAAAAGAACAGTTTTATCTTAAAATGTGGCATTGGTTAAGCAATGAAATAAATTAAAGATTTTCCTTTCCATGATGAAAATAACAAGTAACCAAAGGCACAGTTTAATGACAGTCTCGCCCAGCCCAGTGGTTGCCTTTAGCACCAGTTATTGAAATAGCTATGGTAGTTAACACACTTTCTCAGTTTCTTCAAAGTGAAGAAGTGTGCTGAAGTCATGAACTTTTAAGACCACCATGATACGTCAAATACCCTATTCTTCTCTGAGAAAAAACTTGGGCAATACACTAAAATAAGATGAAACAAGAAACTCAGTAATTTTCAAAAGGGTAGTTCCCATACACTTCTCTATTCATTTGGTCTCTGGAATGATTTTGAGAACACTGTGTTCTTTAATTCAGTATTAACACAGGATGACGGATTTTCAAAACTATACCTATACTAAGTACACACTGAGTTTTCTGAACATGTTTCATTTTATACAACAGATTTAATCCAAAGAATTTTATCTCAGTTCAGAAAGTGTTTGTGTGTTCAGCCACATTCAAAAAGAATACTGGTAACAAATCTTTTTTTTTATTCTTATGTTAATCCCCATACATTACATCATTAGTTTTAGTGGTAACAAATCTTTTAACCGTGAGGAACATCAGGTATCCAGAATATAGCCCCAAATCAAGAAATAAAACAGAAATAGGTAATTCATAATACATTACTTTATTTTTCAGAATAATAATAATTTTATTAATCTGGCTTCCCAATCCAAGTGAATCAGAGGTAGCAAATCAGAGAAAAAGGAATATTGTACTTTTAATGGCAGAAAAGCGGGGCGCCTGGGTGGCTCAGTGGTTAAGCATCTGCTTTCACTCAGGTCATGATCCCAGATCCCCAATGATGCCCTTCTCCCACTCCCCCTGCTTGTGTTCCCTGTCTCTCTCTGTCAAATAAATAAATTAAATCTTAAAAAGGAAAAAAAAAAAAAAAAGGCAGAAAAGCTGACAACTGGGAGTGATAAAATGTAATACCAAAAAATACTGATAGATGG